TTATTATTATTTATTGTACCTGGGTGTCTCTGGTAAGAATATCATTCCAATGATAAGTACAACAGCTAACACACACTGGAGACCCAGTGCTATCCGCCAACCAAAATCAACTGTATGAACAGCAACACTGACACAAAAACTGATCTAGAGAGAAAGAGAGAGGGAGAGAGTAGAGAGAGAGGGAGAGAGTAGAGAGAGAGAGAGAGAGAGAGCCTAGAGAGAGAGAGAGAGAGAGAGAGAGAGAGAGAGAGGTGGGGATAAGTTAATAGAAAGAGAATAAGGACTAATAATATACAAGAACCATTAATAAAGTTAAGAATAGTAAAAGTGTTACAACTAGGAAAGTGTGTTTGACAATAGAGTATGTCATTAATATCTATAGTCGGTTTCAGTTGAGAAGAAACGGAAGTAAATCAATATTTTCGTCATTAAAACGTCACATGTAGCCCCGCCCGAACATGGCTGCAATCTGCAAGTTCTGTCATTCTTCGAGCGTTTCTTCTCTTTTAACTTACTTTACTATCTATTGTACCTCTACAGTGATTGCTGCTACCTCCATCTATCTTTTTCTTGTTTTTGGTGCCTGTTTTCAGCTGGTATAGAGCTCGGAATACGGGTGAATCAACGAGTGTACTGGCAATGAAGAACAACTAAGATTGAGAAGGCTGTGGAGTAATATAGCAAGAATTATCCTCAAGAGAAAGCTCCTGGTTGAATATTAGTAGGTCTAGAGAGCTTGATATGTTTTGTTTTATTTTTAAAATAAAAAACATTATTTTTTGACTAAATGTAATGAGATGCAAATGATATTCATCGGAGTGACGCACACGATTCGTCATGGCGGCTCCTTTCATCTCAAGCGGAAGAACCCGTTTAGAACCTTCCAGAGTACCTAGAAACTCAAAAATTGGTAAGGATTTTCGGAAGAACCCGTTCTGCAGCTATACCAAATTTCAATTTGCTAGCATTAGTGACAAAAAAGTTATAAGGGGTGGTGGTGGTTTCTTCTCAACTGAAACCGACTATAACTACATGTAAATAGGTCAAACGGCGAGTGCATAGCCATTACCTCTAGCTGCAGCAGACACTGTCATAGGAGGGATAACCGGAGGAGTCAGAGGAATAGCCAAGGACACAGCCCTAGAGACAGCGGCCTCCACTTCTCTAGCAACTGCCGACTGAACTTCCCTCCTCACTGCAAGTTGAATGGCGGTGCACCTGAGAGAGGGAAGGAGTGCTGGTAGAACTAGACGATCTAGATCCCGAAGGACCAGATGTGGTAGTTGGAGTAGCCATCGATTCAAAGAAAGGAATAACATAACAAGAAACTGTTTACAAAAGGAAAGTGAGGAGCTAGCGACTGCTACTTCTTTTCAAATCTAGCGATCGACTGAAGTTACTAGTATTACTGCGTATATTAACGGGGGGACAAAAGCCTTAAAAGGCTCTACTTCACTATGAAGTAGAGCCTTTTAAACAAGAAGGTGCACTATAAAACCATTCACGCAACGTCATGAAATCGCTTCCGTCGATCACAGTATAAAAGGAGGTGCCCTGGGCACAATATGGCGGCCAGATTGAATGAAATTTGAAAATAACAAAATGGCTCCCGCACTGGCACTGTTCTTATCATGGCTAAATCACTAGCAAAACGCATTATAAAAACATTAAAATTAGTAAAGGCGAGAGAGTTAACCTACAAGCACAGGTAGAAAGCATGGCAAGAAGAGAAATGGTATAATTGACTTGAAGTAATAAAAGTTTTACATTATTATCAAATATTATATTGTATATTCTGAAAAATCTGCCAACAGCCTAAGAAACACGGTCAATGATGCTGTAAGGCAGGTAATAAGTGATAGTGGCAAGGGAATAGCCCTCACTACTACACAGAAAACCAGCCCAAGAACCGCCACCACTGGCGGAACCAGACAGCCCTGCCCACTACCATATATCAGCCACCATCATCAAGTATAAGTGGTTCCAGCAAAAGACCCCAACATGGTCCTCATTCAGATCCTAGTACTGGTAGCAGTTGTAACATTCAACGATCTGGAAGAAGTAAATACAAAAATATTATTCTAAATTTTTAAAAATATAAACATTATAGGGTTGAATAGATATTGGGATGGTGAGGAGCCTCCTGTATCTGTGTACCTCTTCCCAACTGTGCCCAGTGATGCCGACAAAAATATGGCAGTACTGTGATGGTAATATACTAGCACAAGAAAAATGCTAGTACGAGCCTAAAAATATTAATGCCACCATATGATTACTTTACATTACAAATAATACTTACTTCTGTATCTAGTGCCTAATAAACTTGAGTTACGATTACAGGACTCACAACTGGCATTGAATCAAAATTCAGCACAAATCACATGACGATCTAAAATTATGAATAGTTTTGATGATGTTGATAATAATAGTAATAATAATAATAATAATACTAACAAAGAATACCTGTTTGTAACTGATCATCCTTCGATCAACCATACCACACTAACACTAATGTATGTTTCCCAATAGCCGATTCTATATCTATGCACAAAATGGCTGCTCTTCGTCCCCATCACCCATACCTTATTTATATATAATCACTAATTTAAACACATTATAACTACCTGAAGTATTGAGCATAGCAGAAGAACTACTAGTATCATGTGATAGAGCCTCAGAATGATTCTCTTTTTAAACTAAATCGGCGAGTAAATGAGACAGCAGTTTCAGCGCCTTCTTTTAGTGCCTAAAGACCCCTTAACTCGATCAAGCCTAACTAGAACTGGTCCTTGTCTTCTTTGAGAGTAAAATGGAAGTCCATTTGGTACCAAAACCCCTTTCTTCCTGCGTTTTTCCTCGAAGAAGCAACACCATCTAGATCCGACATTTTTACACGTGAATAAAACGGAAGCCACCATGCCCAGGGCACCGCCTTTTATACCGCACCTTCTCGTTTAAGGCTTTTGTCCCCCCGTTAATATACGCAGTAATGCGCATGCGCAGATGAGCTTGGTGGGAGGTACCCTGAGATTTACTTTGTTCATGTTACCTTAAGGAGACAATTATTAGCGTGTACTTATTTTAGCGATTTTCATGAAACTGACATTTGGCTGGTACTTAATTTAGCATTTTTGATCATTTGGTATTAATAACTTCTAGAAGAATTAAAGGGGTGAGCCTAAGCAAGCTATAGATTATGTGCTGTGATCTACATGTCTGAGCTAGCAAAGCAATTGCACAAGTCTAAATACAGCAGATCTTGTTGCATTAATCTTGCTGAAATTGCTTCATCACTGACTCAGCAGCCATTAAAGTTATCTTGCTTACAGTTAGAAGCAGTCACTGAACGAAGAAGATTGTCATCTGCTTTGTTAACCTAGGCTAACTGCTAGAGAAGTCTTTGGACAGTAGTTTAGTATTATCTTGCTGACCGTTTGCTGCAAATAAACTCAGACTTGCTGACGGCCGCCATTTTATTCATTGTGACCACACCCACTTTTAATGAAGAAATTAAAATTAGCGCGGACTTAAGTTAGCGATTTTTTTAAAATCGCTAAAATTCGCTAAATTAAATACCCGCAAACAATTGTCTCCTTAAGGTAAAAAAACTGCGCTAGCCCCGCCTACTCTACCACTTCTATAACGTTTCATAGCTATGAATACACTTATCTCAGCATTTTATCTTAAGGCATCACAACTTTTCTTGCTGCTCCTTTTCTTGTCCCTCTTCAAAATAAATCTTTCTGGACGTTTGTGATCGCATAGTTGAGACATGATACTTGTGCTGTTATTTATAATGTGGCTTAGAGAAGCAAGGGCTAACTTGGATATAGTGGCAGCTCTTCCTCGTAGTCGTAGACCACTGCAAGAGACAGCTAGTGGAGCAGGTCGAGCTGCAGCCATCATTGCTGGTGATAGAATCTGGCCGTATAAGAATGACGAAAATGATCATTGCTTTTTGCTGGAGCCTGAGCAAGAAGTGGGAACAAGTTACTTTCACAAAAAAGAAGAAATGGTTAGTGAAATTAATTATTTTTAGTATTGACCATTGTCTTTAGGTTGTGGCAAGTTATTGCAAAGTACCCAAAAACTGTGTTGTGTGACTCAGTGCCACTTATACCATAATAATCTACTTACACTTAATGAATTCTATTCTTCAGTTTTTGTGCATTGTTTATTGTATAGTTTGTTTGTCCATTACTATTATTATTATTATTATTACAGCTAAGGTTATTACAGTTAACAATACACAAATCAAAAATAGGAACATAGACAAGGAGAAGATAATTTTTAGATAGTGTTTGAGGGTCTACATTACTGGTCAACAATGTACCATCTCAGTCTGAAGCTAGTCAGGCGGAGCCTGACCTGACTAGTCTGAAGCCATGTCATGATCATTTGCAGCTTAGCTACTACCGGTATATACGTAGACTCCAAGAGCACATGTAATATTGTTGCAATTATAAAGTAAGGAACTACATGTAGATACCCAGTATGACATTAGCGAGACTTAGACTATGTATTCATTAGATACCACCCTTATCATTCCAAGCAAGAGGCAAGCTTAAGAGCACACATATGTATCTAAGCTATTAGATTTGCCCACAAAGTCTTGCCCATGTCATAGTTCTGTTATTATAATGTGTAACATTTTACAATTTGCTGCATGCATAAATTTAAATAAATAATAGCAAAATAATAAAATCTGTCTGCATCATAAAATCTAACAATACTGTCAGTACACAAAATGATACAAAGGTTGCTTCATCCATTATTTGTCAAATTTAGCTGAAAGACTAGACTCAAGAACATCTGTATCTTTTATCAGTGACTCATTTTCACTATAAAAAGAAAGAACAGTATGTGTACATGATTAGAGTATTGAGACTGAGAAAGAGAGAGGGAGGGAGGAGGTAGAGAAAGAAAGAGGGGAGGGGAGAGACAGGAGGAAGAGAAAGAGAGTGTATTATGATTAAAGACTCACTCATCTTCAGCCTCATCACTCGTATCATCTTTGTTCTCATTCTTTATACCAACAATGGCTACAGTGTCCTCTTCTTGTGCAGTCCTTACCCTACAAGCATTAGACCATGGACAACAACACCTATCAGAGAATAAAGGTTAAGTATAGTTTTTATTTAGATGCTAGTTCCTTTATAAAGGGGTATTGGAGTCTCTATAAATTTCACTATACATCATGTACATTTTTAATAGATTTGCTCCAAAATATGCAGCTATAAAGAGTCGTTAGTACAAACTGTTTTGTAATTCAACTGAGCTATACAATAGGTAAGATGACAAGAAGGAATAGATCTACTGAATAGTATAGGAAAAAGCCTGAAATATAATAATTCAATCTTTTTTCCTCGTTTCTACAGTTCAGTGTGGAAAGGCATGGGAGATGCATTTTTTTTAATCATGCTCAAAGTTGTCAGTTTGAGCATGATTTGAAAAATGTGTACCAAACAAACAGCAAAAAATATATACATAAACAAATAGCCAATGTATACTGTGATTTCAAGAAATACATGTATGTACATGCTATGTTGTGGTCAGGAGTTAAATCACTGCACCTACTTGATACAGAGGCGTATTTAGGGGGGGGGCTGAGGGGGCTTGAGCAGTGAGCACCCCCCTCAGGGCTGGGCTCAGAAAAAATTACTGAAGTCCTGGACTCTTGCATCACTACCAAGCCTCTTAACAAAGTTATCTAGCCCCCTGATCATGATTTCAGCAGTTTTCAGTGCTTTAAGGAGCAATCAGAAGTACCAGTAACATAGCAGTATGCTTGAAATGATCTTGGCCCCACCTGTAATTGACAAAAATGCAGGAAAAGGCCGTTTTACAGCCGTAAAAGTGGGTGTGGCCTAAATTGCGGCGCGCTTCGTGTGCCCTTAGCACCCCCCTTCCCCAATTCCTAGATACGCCCCTGTAATACTGACCATAACAGAGCATGTGAATAACACATTTCTGCCTACCTATCATGCAAGTTTAAGGAAATCATAGTACATGTACTTGTACCTCAGATAGTAGAATAGGTTCATCCTCTGTAGCCATGGCCTCAGAAACAATTCATCAATTCTCTCTAGACTCTCTCCTTTTGTTTCAGGAAGTGTTAGCAACACAAATAAAAATGAGGCAAAGAGAAACCCTGCCAGTATGTAGAATGTACCAGCCGTCTTTAGTACAGAACCGAGGAGTAATGGGGTTACCATAGCAACCACAAAGTTCCCAATCCAGTTACCAGAAGTAGTGACTGAAACAGCAACACCCGAAGAGAGAGAGGGAGGGGGGGGGGAGAGAGAGAGAAGACGTCAAGGAATATATGCATTAAATCAAATCAATATCAGTATCAGCTAACCTCTAACAGAGAGAGGGAATACTTCACTAGTTACCACCCAAACAACTGGCCTATAAAGAGAAAGATCAATACATCATGTGCAGGAACAAAACCATGTCAGCAGACAATAAGCAGATACAAGTGAAGAGTATAACCCAGTCTAACTAAACTAAGCTCAATGTTGCTATGTAAAACTATTGTACACATGCTTTTGGCAGTAAGCTTTAATTATACTACCAACATACATGTATATGTAAAAAATCACCTGACACCATTAAAAAGAATTGTTCCCCC